AAAAAAAATATTTAAACTTTCCGATAAAACACAAAAATTCATGACATATGAGATATAAGTATATGAGAAACTGTATCATATTATGCTTTGGTCGCCATAATGATCATATAACTTTGAATTAAATTTATTCACTACCTACAAAATTAGTGGACCTCGACATTCATAAATCTGGTTTAGCTATCGACTAAACTTCAAATTTTTCTTTAAATACTTTCGCAAACGTTATAGGTACTGTAATTTTTAGCTTTCCTACAGATTTGAATAACCAGACATCCTCACCAAGAACACCAATTCCTACCAAGGATGAGTCGCGAGGCCATTGAAATTAAAAAAAAAAACACACTACTATTACCATCTGCTTGAGTTTCCCTCTATAATAAATAAAATTATATCAAAACCTAAACATGCTACTTACTGCAAGACTTCGAGAGACGGTAAACTATCTCGCGGAGATCGAAACAAAAATTAATAATATAAGTCGAAGATAGCCTCCGTTAATTATGACATGATTGATGTCCTGCATCAAACACTTCGGTCTCCCCCAGACCCCCAGTGACATGAAGGCTGTAAAGCGCCCGAAACGTTGGGCCTAAAAAAACTCAAAAAGGCGATAAAATTGTATATGTATGTATTCGTACAACTATGTTTATTTAATATGTAATGTGATAAATTTTTATTCTGTACAATAACTCAGTATATCAAGTTAAAACCATATTTGTTCGTTCATTGCAGCATATCAAAAGTCTACCGCTGAGCATAGATCTCCTCACAGAATGCTTATAGGTACATTGCTTATATATTTTGCCAAAACCACTTACTATGTAACAAATATTTTTAAAGATAAGTCTACTGCTGAGCATAGATCTCCTCACAGATTACTTATAGGTATATTGCTTATATATTTTGCCAAAACTACTTACTATGTAACAAATATTTTTAAAGATACGAGGGTGGATTGAAAAGTACTCGGCCTAACACAGATCCATTCAATTCTAAAAATTAAATCTACCCACATTATTTAGTTCAATTCAGACTAGTTCATTGTGTGAAGTTCGAAACGTGTGCGATAATTAGTTGTGATTTTATAAATTTATTAACAAAGTAATCGGACATAATTTCCGCGAATGGAGCAAATCGAGCAGCGTGCCGTCATTAAGTACCTCCATAAGAAGGGGCTATCATCAAAAGCCATCCATGATGACATGGTCAGTACATTAGGCGATTGTGCTCTGTCATATTCATCCGTCAAAAAATGGATAGCAGAATTTAAGCGTGGTAGAGAGATTGTGAAAGATGAACCCCGCTCTGGAAGGCCTTCGACGTCAACTACTGACGAAAATATTAAAAAAAGTACTTGATTTAATAATGGGAGACCGCAGATTAAAAATTAGAGAGATAGCCGAGATTATAGGCATCTCTTATGAACGAACTCAAAACATCATTGTCAACGAGTTGGGTTTCCACAAGGTGTCTGCGAGGTGGGTTCCGCGACTGCTTTCACGCGACTGTTTGGAGTTATTTGAAGCCGATGCAGATGATTTTTTGAATCGTTTTGTTACTATGGACGAAACATGGGTTCATTACTGTATACCGGAAACAAAACAACAATCAAAACAGTGGAGAAGACCTGGTTCACCACCCCCTAAAAAGGCTAAGTCGATTTTGTCGGCAAATAAGGTGATGGCTTCAGTATTCTGGGACTCGAAAGGTGTGATTATGATTGATTATCTTGAAAGGGGTCAGACTATAAACTCTGATTACTACTGCACCTTACTACGTTGTTAACGAGGGGAAATAAAAGAAAAACGTCGAGGAATGCTCAGAAGAAAAGTCCTGTTTCATCACGATAACGCCCGTGTTCACACGTCAGTACAGTCAATGGCTGAAATTCACAACTGTGGCTTTGAACTGTTACCGCATCCGCCGTATTCACCTGATCTGGTACCATCAGACTTCTTTCTGTTCCCTAACCTAAAAAAAGCACTTGGGAGGTCAAAGATTTTCGACAAACGACGAGGTCAAAGCAGCTGTAGACGCATATTTTGACTCTAAGGAAGAATCATTTTTTTTCAACGGTCTAAATGCTTGGAAGGGGAGGTGGCAAATGTGTATTGAACTTGATGGTGATTATGTAGAAAAATAAAAATATAACTGATTTAGTATGTGTTTATTTTCTTGGTTAGGCCGAGTACTTTTCAATCCACCCTCGTAAGTATATTATACTATAAAAATTTAATTAAACTTCCTACGACAACACCCTGATACGTTCTGTTACTAAATCTGAGTATGATTTTGTGACTACAATACTTTTGTTACACTGGTAAACTGAATGGATAACAAAAGTATTTCAAGTACATACAGCTTAAAACCTAAAAACGTTGTTCCAAATCGTCATTCGTCTGCTGATTCGATATGGTACCTAATGCGCAGTCCACAATCACTATAACACGTCATACAATGCGTATTATGACTATGAGAAACGTATGGAATATTACCTTTGGAAATTTTTATCTATAATTTACAAATAAATATTACAAGAACTACTTAGTTATTACACTTTATTTTAAGTAACAAATGCATGTGACATGTTGTCACGTATTTACCCTGAGGGCAAGAGGGCGGGCGTCCAGGTACTCCGTACCAAACGAGTACTAATATATTTTTGCAATTAATGAAATCAATTTAAAAATCTTTGTTTTTTATATACTATGCATGATTATTAAATGAAAGTACAACAAAGTGTTTTCATTTATATTTTTGATTTTCTAAAAGCCTACAAACGTGAATACGCCAAGGCATGATCTAAATCAGGTCTGGTAACATGGCATAAAGTCACGGTTATAATGACAATAACAATACTATGGGCTAAATGCAAAGTTCACTAGGTGTTTTGGTTTGCGCGGACGTTACCGGCGATGTCACACGAGCTGTTTCAGATGTTTAGAAACAAATTGTAAACACGCAGCCGCACCGTCGTCCAGCCATTCAGTAGCATTAAACATCGACATCAACGCAGCCGCTACCCTATCCGTTGATTAACACTTTTTGCTATGACTGAGGGCTTTATACCTAGCAATATTTTTTTACACACCGGCCAATGACCGACCCAACGGGCTGCGAAACTGAACGTTCCGAGGCAGTCACGTGCCCGGGGTGAGACGCGGCGGGCGGTTTGACTCGCAGCCGAACCTTCTCTTATAACTTATAAGATGCACACTCGCCGCGTCATAGGTGTAAAGCGTGCACGACAAGTTGGCATGCCCCGTGCACAATATTGGATAAACTTGCATGCCGATATTTAATTTTAGTAAAACTATATAAGTAAGGTGCCATGTAGGATGTCTCACAGTAGCATAAGCTATCACTATGATAGCTATCTCCCGTCAGATTCCTCCCTTGAAACAGACGCACTTAACCGGCATTGGTAAGTTTATCCCTATAATATTTAAAAATAATATATAACGATACGTTAGAAATGTTTATAGTTCATAAATTTACAGCAAAAACATATTATGTTCTATTATATCCAAAAAAATCCCTCTTTTATTTCCGCTAAAATGTTATATATTCAAAATAATTTAAAAGAAATCAATGACACGTAAAATCGCCTATATCTATTTAGATATTAATACAATATTATTAAAAATTAGTTTTACGTTACGTTATCAAATCACAAATTTATCACTACTTATATTTTTTTAAACTCAATATTAGGATATTATAAAGATATTAAATTACTGAGTACTATTTAAAATATAATATCCATTATTAATAGTTGAGTATAAAATAAAATTATTAAAAAAACATATATATATATATATATATATATATATATATATTTCACATAATATATATGTTTATATATCAAAATTCGCTATAATATATGTATATACATACATTTACATTACATATATGTATACATATATATAAATCCGTTAATTCATACTGCATTAATCTGACATAAAATGATTGCTGAGAAACACCTTAAAGAAATGATATTATAAATTCTGACCTACATGAAATCGTATGCTCAAACAAGACAACTTAACTGCCGCACGCAACAAAGCAAAGGCGTAGCCACATATCATAATCACTTCTACTAGTCATACATACCAATCAAAAACCTTATTACTTATGAGCATTGACCCAGAAAGTCGTAAAGTTTTCCGTCGATAAAACCTTTAGCAACGCATTCACAAATCATTTAAGGATAATTAATCCATGGCTGACAAATATATTTTTCTTTGTCACCTGCTCACACACATTTCATACTTTCTTCCACAGTCACGATAATAATTCGTTTGGAATAAGCTATTTTAACAGATACACTTAAAACTTCTGATACATATGAAATTATTTATTTTCAATGGTAGAAGAGCTTGGAAAAAGAAAACATTTTCATCAAAATGCATGAACGCAGGACAGATCAAAACAATAAACAACTTATTCATAAATTACGAACCAAAACTGTTTCTGTTTCAAATATTATTGAGTTTATAAACTCTAATTGCCGACAATCTAGTTAAGGACTATTTTAATTTTAAACCCTACTTAAACGTAATCAAACAAAGATGTAAATAAAACTTGTCTGAAAGCCGGCGGAAATGTATTTGCTCTAGTAAAAGGTTCTCACTATAACTTAGTCACCTTCATAGCCACAAGATCAATCTTTTATGGGCAAAGCCGTTGTAACCTTACGTTAATACAAAATCAAGGTAACTAGAAATCATTAAACTACCCTTGAAATTCCTAATAAGTTTATTTTATAAGCCCGATATGAATATTTACATGAAGAATTATTTAATAAGATTAAGTCATATTAGCAGCTAAAGATTGAGACATAAAGAGATAAGTTAATTACGCCCTTTGTGTGTATGATGAAATTAGAATAATTATTTTAGTATTTTGTATTGCCAAATATTAGAAAGTTGACCTTAAAACCACTTGTTGCTTGAGTCGAGATTACAATTTGTTACCAATAAGTCGCATTTTGTTCACAGGAATGGCCGTGTATCAGCACAAGCAGAAGGGCCTTCACGCCGAAAAAGCAATCTACACAATGCCATGGCAGCTGAAATGGACTCATCTTGGGGTATAAATGAAATTTATTTTTCTAAAATGATAAATATGCTTTACGTCTTATTAGTTATCAATTGAATTAATTTAAACTCAAAATCATTTGAATATCTAAGCAAATTTCACGTCGGTTACTTTTTTGATTGCACAAAATTTTATTATAAGCACAGGAAAAGTTTAGTCATAAATAAGAAAAGTTATAATTGTAATAAATATTTAAATATAATTATGACAAAAATTTGCATTTTATAGCATTATTTCCACTGGCTGAATTTACAAATTACTCTGGTTTATTTTCATTTATCCGATACTATAAATTACTAGCTTTTTACCGCGACTTCAATAGCGTACAACTTAAACGAATCTATAACGAATGTTCGCTTTTCTGGGATAACCTTTGGTCAAATAATGAGTGTCGGTGAGCGTCATTTAATTGAAGGTAATTAACGAGTTAATGAGACGGTTAAAACCATCTTCAATAGAAAACGGTTTTTGTGGAAATTAGCCGAAGAAAAGTAAAATATATTTTATACCACTCCTGATATTGCTCTCTATCAGTTGCTGAAGGTTGATCACAATAGGTTCAACCGTTTTGGAGATTATCTAGGACAGACAGGCAAATAAAAAAAATGGTTGTTTACGAGCATAGCATGCATATTACCTCCTGAGCTCGATGAGCACTTGTTATCAAAATGCTTTTGCGGGGGAAGCACATCAATTGATCATAGTAAGGCGTTGGTACGCAGAATTTGATCATGACCGTATTTCTCTCCATGATTAATTTCGTAAATATTCGACCCTCAACTGCGATCGCGAAAAAAATTTGGCTACTCTCAGCCGATAAATTTTTAAAAATACCGGCGTATGAGGAGATTCGAGGTCATTTGGATGTTAGAAAATTTCGTTACTGCTAGACTAAACTCAACCCGGAATAAAAACGCGCTCGAGTTGAATGGTGTTAAAAATATTGTTCTAGTATGAGATCACGGACGTTCAACTGCTGTGTATAACATTTTGATAGGAAGTGGAATATGTATATATTGTTACATTCCGGGAAAAAGCAACAGTAGGTATTCTATATGGGTGTTCGAAGGAGACAGAAATCCAATAAAATTGAGACAGGCAAGAAACGTAGGCAAAAAATTTTTACGGTTTTATCCTGTCCGCATGATCCCACTTTATGTCCAAAAGAATACAGAGTGGTCCACCACCCCTTGTTTTCCAAGTGTCTTTGAATAAATAAGGGAAAAACGACCAAGAAGTCGAAGCGCACACCGCGAACAAAAGGCTCACCTTTTCAGAATCAAAACCTCTTTGGCTTCTGAAAAGGTGAAACGAGTGACCAAGCCCACACACAGTTCAGATTTTTGCACCTTGCGATTTTATCACTTTGCGAAAATATTTAAGATTTGATATTTACGCAGCCAGACGTCATTATTGCAGCCCATTACATTTATTATACTAGTGAATATCGGCAGGGCCTGATTTAAAGGTGTTGTATATATATATATATATATATATATATATATATATATATATATATATATATATATATATATACTGCTGACTGCCATGCGGGCCTGATATTCATTAAGAAAATTCTAAAACAACCCTGCACATTTCGCGCCAATGGAATATCCCTCTGTTTCAGTTTGTTAGCTTCCAATGGAACACTCTCGCTGTGGCAGAATGTTTCTCATGTCGACTTTGCCTACACGGCAGAGGCAGCCCTCTGTCAATCTTGCTACCTGCGTGAAATAATTATTAATTACCTACAATCGCGAGTCACCCAGGGTAACATACGGAGTCGGGGCCAGCGCGTTGTAGGCGATTTAATATTAAAGTTTTTAACGCGTTACGTAAATAGTTTTTTGTATACTTGTTGAAATAGTTTTTGTTTAGTGTTTAGTATATTTAATTGTTGGATAAAACAGTTAAAAAAGTATTAATCTAATTTAAAAATTATATATATATATATTTTATATTATCTATATGATAAATTGTAATGGCAAAACGTTGTTCGTACTATAATTGGTGCGTGGATAGATGGTAATGACAACAAAAAGTTTCAGATATATCATTCTTTAAGTTACCGAAAGATTTTAGTAGGAAGTCATAAAAGGTGAATTTACTTAAATTTTTATTAGATAGGTACTTATAACAAAAAATAATTAAGTAATAATTTATCTACAGAAGTATTACCTATATATAATACGTACTTTATTACAAAACTTAATTGAAATTTACTTCATAATCCAATCCAATCCAACATAATGTACTTGTCTTTTGTAATTAAAATATTTTAAGTTATAATAACACAAATACTGAAATTAAAACTTTGTTTACTAACAATATTTTTAACTAAGTAGAATACGATCACATTTCTGTTAGGAACCGTATTTCAGGTTTATTTCTTGTTTACATTATCTACCTATTTCTTAAGAGCCAAGCATCGCGATTCCCGACGAATGGCCTTGCAATTTGCATTCATTGGGTATCGATGTACTCACATAGGTGTGAAAATATGGTCAGTCGATCATACTCAGAATAAGTACTTGACCTAAGTAACTTAATTAACATTTCGCACTGTATTTTATTACTCTTTGTTGACATCCCTTAGTAACCACGGAAAATCCGCCGTGACGAAGGAAGGGGGAAAAGATGCAAAGTAATACGGACACTCGCGCGCAGCGATATAGTTTAATTTAGCTTGCTTGTGCGATTTATCTAATTAATAATAATTATGTTTTATATTTTTACGTGGTAGAGCCATGCTACAGTTATATTAGTAAGTAGTATAGTTGTAGCACGAATGGGTCGGCTCGACCGGGGAAGGACCACGCTCTCACAGAATACCAGCGTGAAATAGTAGCTTAATGCTGCTGTGTTTCGTATGATGAGTGTAGAGAACCGGAGACCCTTTTTACTGGAAACGAGGCATGCCATCTTAGTCCTCACGGGTGACAACGCATCTGCATCTTGATTCGTAATGGAGGATAGATGTAGATGTCTATGGGCCACAGCAACCACTTACCATCAGGTGGACTGTGTGCTCGTTTGTCACATCCTATAAAAAAATGTAGGCTATGAAACGTCGGCAAGAAATTAACATCAAAGGAGTGCAACTTCTTTACGTAGTACTATTATTTATTCTGTGGTAAAAGGCAGTCCTACCTTATTAATTTGAATTTTGTTACGTACATTATTGACTTTTTGCACGGAAGTACAAAGTCTAAACGTAAATAATCACAAAAATAAAATAAAAGAGTTGATTACTTTTATTTTTTAGTATATTTTATTACAAAATCTTAAAATTTTAATTACTAGATAGGTCAGAACTTATTTGCATAAACCATAAATATTTAAATAAGTAAAAATGCGCAAGTGTACAAGTATTCACCTGAGAGTTCCCACAAATCAATCGATACATAGCTATTTGATTTGATGCTTCGGACATAACGATTCATTATTTCCTCCGCAGAAAGACCGGCACACATTGAAGGGAGGTATAAAAAATATTCAACGACTTCCTCCATATACTCCAAGAAAGCGTTGTCTCATCAAAGCGAACATATCGAAAGGTAATTCTGTCACCTATTTCATTACTTAACTTTATAAACGAACACACAAAGAGATATCTTGCAAATTTATTTATTTATGTCACAGCATTTTTTTGTAAAAATTTAATGTAACCGTTACTTAAATAGGCATCTATCATGGTTAAAATTAATATGAAACGTAAGAATATCCTTAATTATTTTAAGATTCATAATTTGGGCATTCACAAATTTTTTCTGCAGCCAAATGACAATATTATATATTATTATTTCTGTATTCACTCATTTTTATTGTTATATACATTGTTGCCATAGGTCCTGGTGGTACGCTTGTTGTCAAAAGTGTCATCAAGAAGAATCCGGAATTCCTTCTTGGGAACCCCCACACTGGCAGAAAATTTGTCCCTATCCGTTATGTCCATCCTACAGACATTTTGCTCAGACATTATCTATCTTCATACTTGGTAAGTATCGTTTACTTTCTTTTAGTTACTGTCACTTTTTACAATAATTTTTAGAAGATTATGCCGACTAAACTTTTGGTATTAGATTACAAAACAAGTTATGAAGCATAACGTTACAGAAGACGCTCACTCATCTGTGTAAATGTTGCTGCTGGTCGAACCAAGGTGTCATACTTTCAGCCTTGTTTTGACTAACCTATAAAAGCCGTTACATTCGGAATTATTATGTATTCATTAAAGTCCTCATCGTAGTAATGTAATCAGCTTGTTAAGGAAGTCAGTATTGTACTGAGTTAGTTTTAATTATTAATGGAAATGAAATAGTTAATAAATATCATCGAGACATATTTGTTGTTATTAAAAAGCTTAAGCACCGCTCCCAATACATAACTAGGTAGGTTATTATTAATTGCAATTTTAGTAATAACTTACCACGTGCTCGGTGGGAAAGGAAAGCATCAAACATTTTTCGAAGTTGTAAGTCTTGAAGTGTGCCAACACTCACTAAAGCAGTGCGGCAAACTATTTAACCATTTCATATCCCTCTCAAAAATGAGGGAAGGCTTTTGTCCAGTAGTTGGACGTATATAGGCTGTAACTTCACTTTATAAATGCTTCCTAATTATATTGAACATTATTTTACGATTTGTAGGTATTTTGATATGGGTGATAATATGGACAGTTATGGGCGAAACAGCAGCGCCGGGTGGACAATTATTCATGCTAGCTGTTCTCACCATTGCTTCCTACTTTGGCGGTTGGCTCATGGTCAAAGTCACCACACTGCCTTCACTTATTGGAATGCTTATAGTAGGGATTGTAATGAAGAACGTTGGTTTTGTAAACTTTGATGAAAACTATCAACACGTGTGTTCTTACATAAGGTAACTACTTGACTAATATTTGACTCACCGTTATTCTTTTCGTTGTTTCGATTGAAACCTTATACGATTCGTTTGAAATACATTTTAAAATTATTAATGTTTTCAGAAAAATCGCTTTAACAATTATCTTAACTCGTGCCGGATTAGATTTAGATCCGGTTGCAATGAAAAAATTCTTCTTCACGGTGATAAAGCTGGCTTTAATTCCATGGACGTTTGAATGCGTACTTTGCGCAGTTATGTCAAACTTACTTCTTGGGCTACCCTGGGATTGGGGTAAGTTTTGCATGTTTTTTTTAGTTACAAAGTGAAGTATGCAAAAATGTTTACTTGTATTAGCTCTAAACGAAAAATTAACCACTGTAACACTTTTTGAAAATACGATAAATATCGTACTACCCCCAAAAGTAAGAAAAATTATATAGTAAAAGTACAAAGTATGGCCCAACAAACTCAATAATATAAGGGTTGATAAGAACAACTAGGATAAAGGATTTGATAAGATTATATATTTAAAGTGAGCTTGAAATTACTAACGTAAAACGGTCTTATTTCAGCTTTCTTACTGGGATCTGTAGTAGCAGCGGTGTCTCCGGCTGTTATTGTGCCGTGCCTGTTCAGATTGCGAGGCAAGGGCTATGGTGTATCGAAAGGTATTCCAACGCTCGTGCTGGCGGTATCTGGTATCGACGATGCAGCCAGTGTAGCCGTCTTTGGCATAGTCTCATCTATTATGTTCGCTAGTTCTTCTCTCACAATGAACCTCATACAGGTACGTATATTTTAATGCTAAGTAAATTAATATGTAATTAACTCTGTTAAGGGGAAATGCATCAACGGTTTCGGTTACGGAGCTCTGGGACCCACTGACGGCGGAAAGTCCGTCTAAATTGCCGAACCCAAATATCGTCGACTGATGATGGTGTTGGCTCAACGCTCACCAAACCGCCTTGCCAAGGGTGGATAATGAGTGTGGGGTATGGATAAATCTTTCTAATAGTGTATGCCAACTACCGCATGCTCTAAAAGACTTGCACATAATTCCGCCCATATTCCGTTCGGTCTGGAGGGAATTGTAATTATTATTATAATTTATTAAATATGTAAAGGGACATTAACTAAAATGTTTTGAAAAAGTATTACAGATCATATACTCGAGCTATTGCTCCAAATACCTATATGTGATGAACTCTGATGTTTACAGTAGAGTATCATATTAAACTGTCGCATGCGGTCGCTATTTGTGTAATTGTTCATGGGGGGTATATTGCCATAGTTGCCACGCTTGGCGAGCGGGTTGGCAACCGCAGTTTTTTTGTCATGCAGTTGCTGTTATCAGGAAGATGCTGCTGCCCAACTCCTGTCTGTTTCCCTCTGTCGCCTTTTACAACACCCACGGGAAGATATGGGGTAGTGGATATTCTTAACCGCCACTACACGGCATGATGAAAATAGCACTATGAGAAAGCCTTTGATTCCCTCGAAATTTGGGCGGTGAAACAGTCCCTTCAGCGGTGTCAAGTTGATTGTCGGTATATCGAAGTGCTTGAAGTGTTTGTACAGTGTGGCTACGATGGTTATCCGAGTACAGAACCAGAGCTCGAAACCTATCCAACTGCAGAGAGGTGTAAGACAGGGTGACGTTATATCAAATTCACCGCTGCATTGGAAGACGTTTTCAAGCTACTGTACTGGAAAGGATACGGTATTAACATCAATGGCGAGTACATCAATCACCTTCGATTTCCCGAAGATATATCGTCGATTTTGCCTCCAGCGATTCTGCCATAAGGACTATAGTCCTTATGGCAGAATCGCTGGAGGACCTAAGCACTGTGCTCAATGAACTCAATGGTGTCTCCGGGGAACACCAAGTCGCATAGGTCTTAAGGTGAACACGGACAAAACAAGGATCATGTTTAATGTTCATGTCACACCTATTCCGGCAGTTGTTGGGAGCACTATGCTCGAAGTTGTTGACGAGTACGTTTACCTGGGACAAATAGCCCGACTAGGTAAGTCCAACTTCGACCGAGAGGTCAATCGACGGATTCAACTCGGCTGGGTTGGTTCGGGAAATTACGACATATCTTTTCGTCAGGTATACCTCAATCTCTAAAAACTAGATTGTACAACCAGTGCGTGTTGCCAATGATGACTTACGGATCTGAGACGTGGTCCTTAACTGCTGGCCATATGAGGACGCTCCAGGTCGCTCAGCGAGCTATGGAGAGGGCTATGCTCGGAGTTTCTCTGCGTGATAGACTCAGAAATGATGTTATCCGAAGTAAAACCAGAGTGACTGACATATCCCAACGGATTAGTAAGCTGAACTGGCTGGATGGATCGGCCATATAGCTCGAAGAACCGATAACCGATGGGGAAAAAGGTTCTCGAGTGGCAGCCTCGTACCGGAAGGCGTAGTGTATAGGGCGACCCCCCACGTAGTGTAAGATATGCAGGAAGTCGATGGATGCAGGTGGCTCAGGACCGTGCTTTGTGGCATTACTTGGGGGAGGCCTATGTTCAGCAGTGGACTTGTGAAGGGCTGTAATGATGATAATGATGATGAGGTCGCTAGTAGCAAACCAACCAACCAACCCAAGGTGAAAAAGTATTTGTGTGTCCTAAAAATTAAGTTTTCAGGGTCTGGATGTTCGTCCATGTACAATATATCTAGGTAAATAACCTCCATGATACAGGGTAAAATCCTACTCAAATGTTTTTAACAGTGGACTTAAGATGGCTCTTTTTTAATATTATATAATATGATCGTGATATTATCTATTTATTAAATAAGCGTAATAGCGAAATACCATCACCTCACTCCCTCATCCCGAGATCACTAAAACTACGTAAACGACGTAGACACCGACTACGAAAGAATTTTGGAAAATTTAGTCCCTGGAGGTGAAATAGGGTGTAGCTTGTGCTTTATGTATATTCTATAAAACACTTAAGCTACACTTTGATAATAGAGTTGATAATTTACACATAGTCATCATATAGATTTGACATATATTTTTATTAGTATAGTATAAAAAGTTTACTTGTCATATAAAGATATATTCATTATTAGCTTTTTTTCCAGGAAATATTAGAACACGACTTTTTTACAGATTTATTACATGTATAGATTTGCGTAAGACAAATTTATCTGAAAATGGAAATAGTTTCAGATTCTTTATAAGGTACATTTTTAAGTTAGTACAGAAATAATAATCATATAAAACATGTTTACAGGGGCCTCTCAGTGCAATTGGTGGAATAGCTTTTGGTGTATTTTGTGGATATCTAGTGAAATACATTCCGGAACGAAACGATGCATTCTTAGTACCATTGCGTGTTCTCTTGCTCCTCACTGGTGGCTTAATGTCTGTTTTGGGATCGGAAGAAATCGGCTGGGAAGGTGCTGGTAAGTTAATAATTATAATACTTATTTCATTTTCTTTACATATTAAAATGAATATATCACGCAGAAACGAGCGAGGCATCGTTCATTGTTTGGCCTGGGATAATTTTCTCACATTGCAGGACTACTTTGCGCTTTTTCCATTCTATTATAGCCTTAATTTTCATACTTTTTCTCTTCCTGTTTTTATTTATTTATTGCATACGTGTTGGAATTAGAATCAGATGCAGAAGAAAGAAATGCAGTTTTTGTAAATATGGGTAAATAAGGCTTCTACTTTATTTTTAGTAATTATCCCAAATTCAATATAATTGAAGGGCAACAACTACGCGTACTTAGTTGTTCTCTAATGTGTGCGATTCAATTCACAACTTTTTGCCGACCGATCGACCCTAATGAATGTGTGCGTGCGTAGTAACAAAGAATTATTGATTTTTGATCGTCATCAAAAATTCTTTCAAAAAGATGATTTTTATGAAGTATAAAGTGCAAAATCAGCCTGTATGTAGTGACGGTGTAAGAATATCCATTACCCTTTATCGTCCTCAGGGTTTCTCAAGAGGCGACATAGGGAAAATGAAACGGGAGATGTGCAGCAACATCTTCCTGACAACACCTCATAGTAATAAAAAAAACTCCGCTTGCCAAGCGTGGGAACGTTCAGCAGTGGGATTTTATAGCCTGTAATGGATAGAATGGATGGATGTATCATCATCATCATCATCATCATTACAGCCCTTCACAAGTCCACTACTGAACATAGGCCTCCCCCAAGTAACGCCACAAAGCACGGTCCTGAGCCACCTGCATCCATCGACTTCATATCAAGGATCTCCTAGGTGTGCGTTGTTTGTGTTTAGCAGTGAACACATACAACCGCCGGTACGACATACTCCGCCGATCGTTGAGTCCCGTGATTCCGTGAGGCGTCGAGGTCACCGGCCCCTAGGCAGATTCTTGGCACTTTAAGCGTTCCGTGCATTTTGTGCCTAGTCGCGTTTTAAAGTGCCACCACCGCACTTCCCCCAACCCTTTTGTTGCAAAAGGGGTAGGCAGTGCCCAAAAGTGATTACGCCAACTTTTTATCATCTTAACCATCCGCGTCGCGCATTGCTGCCGATCGGCTGGTAATAGACAGGGCCGTAATTAGATTACTGACTCACGTTAGGTAGGTTCACACCATCATGTCCGATAAGAACAAGGGGGAGCCCCCACCTTCATCTAGAAAACCACCGGACCGTCCTGGCGTTTTGGAAAGACCCATCGCGTACCGTGATATATTCCACCCGGAACGGACTCGAGTAGTATCCTCCTACTCGCAGATCCCAACCCGAAAGCCTTCATCATCAGGCAAGGAGCCCGCATCGAGGATCGCGCTCTCGCCCATCGTACCTGAGGGTACGACTGGGCGTGAACCGTTCCCCCAACAACAGCGGGCCAAAAAGACGCTCAGAAGGCACACTCCACTTGAGACAGCTGCATACCTTCAGGAGAAGAGGCAATGCATTGGATCCTCCCACTCCTCGGATTACTCGACATCCGAGGAAGAATATGACCATCAACAACCGGAACAACCCATCCGAAGATCACCACCTAAATCGCCATCGCCGATCAAACCAACCCCTCCCAGATCACCGGATCACCATACCAGCATGGATGCTGTTGATCTGGAGCAGGGAGGAGAAGGGTCATACGGGTGGAGTGCAACCACATACGCGACCCTTGCACCAAGTACATCTGCCGGACATTCACCATCCGCGCCAACCACCAACCCGTCAGGCCGGCCATCGGACGATGGTCAAAGGCCTTCGACAACTTACGCCCAACTAGTAGCTGCCCCAGCAGTACCAAGGACAAGGACAGCTGAGGCACCAAAACCAACGGAAGAATCAGCTAAGAGATACCCACCCATAGTGGCTGAGTGCTTACCGGACTGGACGAAGCACTTCGAGGTGCTCAACAGGAAGTTGGGCCACCCACCGAATGCTCGTCCGTTCGGTAAGGGGGGTCAGATTTACCCCCCAGAGTCCGGAAGAATTCCGGACGGTACAGAAGTACCTGATAGAGATGAACGACAAAGTACCAGCCATGTCCTGGTACTGTTATACTCCCGAGGAGGACAAGCCCACGAAAGTGGGCATACGGGGTCTACCAGTGGGCACGGATCCATCCGCGATAGAGGGGGCTATCAGGGCAAAAGGGTTCCCGATCAAGTATGTGAAAGGGATCCCCCCCCCCCCGTAGAGGCAACCTGGGTGCCTCTACTTCGCGCAGCTGGACCACCTGAGCCTGGAGCGCCTCAATGAGCTATATCAGATCGACGAACTCCTATTCATGAGAGGAATCGTCATAGAGGCCTGGCAAGGAAGAGTGGGCCCATCACAGTGCCACCGCTGCCAGGCCTTTGGCCATGCATCTACAAATTGCTTCAGGCCAGTGAAGTGTGTTCGCTGTGCCGGAGACCACATCGCTGGTAACTGCCCAAGGGGTAGGGAAGAAGGACCGCGATGCGCAAACTGCGCCAAAAACCATACCGCCAATGATCGCCGCTGCCCAGTCCTGAAGAGGATTGCAAGGAAGCAGGGGATAGCTCTACCGGGACTACTCCCAGAAGAGCCCAAAAGAGTCCCCCAGAGTCGTCCCAGGACCGTGGTCCAGGAAGACGGGTGGACCACAATTAGAGGAAAGGGAAGGCAACCAGCCCCCCCTCCACCCATCTCGGCACCTATAGAAACGGTGGTGCCGATCGCCACTACATCCAAGGCAACCACCGGGGCGACTCTCCGCCCCCCCCCCCCGCTAACGACGCGATTGAGCGCCAAACCTCGCAAAGGAGTAAGCGGGGGAGGAAGAAGAAAGAGAAGGTGCAGCCCCCTCCTCAGGCAGCAACCTCTACCCCAACCCCAACGGTAACGATAGCCCAGGCGCAGGTTACCAAAGAAAAGAAAACCAGAATGGGTAGAGTGCCAGAAAGGGCTCTATCCGAAAATAGAGCCCGCTCTACATATAGAGCGCGCTCTACCCATACACAAAGACCAGTTCAACAACACCCGAGACCAGTGCCAACGCCTTCACAGGCTCCGAGAACACCAACAACCGGCTTCGAGACTGCTGACACCATCCAGCGCTTGGTTGGCATAGCAATCGAAGTCGGCAGTCAGGTCCTGGCAGACATCAGAGCCGGGACAGATCCCATTACAGCGGTGATGAAGGCGCTGGCAAACCTCCTGGCTCGGCACTATGGGGGAATCTAACCTGCGCCTCCTCTAATGGAACCCGGATGGAATCCAGCAGAAGCTACATGAACTCCGCACTGTCGCCCAACAACAAGACATACAGGTCATCTTGCTGGGAGAGACAAAATTAAACCCGAGTACGCACATAAAGCTGCCTAACTACCATCTCTACAGAAGGGACGAGGTCACTTCTCAAGGGGCCGCCTACAGAGGGACGGCGGTTCTAGTGAGAAGGGACATCGCCCATCAAGAGCTCGAACTACCGGAGTACCAAACGATGCGCTCTATCGGTATAAAAATGGAGGCGGCGGGCGAGGAACTTAGGATCTACGCAGCATACCGCCCGCCAGGGACTCCATTCTGCTCCTCAGACGTCCGGATGGTGATGGAAGGCGAAACACCGACCATCATCGCCGGAGACCTAAATGCCAAACACCCGGCGTGGGGATCTAGACTGATCAACCCACCGGGTCATGCACTGTTTGAAGACACGTCTTAGGTCCTGACAAACCCACACACGTTCCGACAGATCCACGGAGTCGTCCGGATGTATTGGGCAGTGATAGAGGTGCTGTACGACCTGGATTCACAGCACCTCCCGATCTTGATTACCCTTGGTCTAAAGGCGGTGACTACGCCGCCCAGAACAGTTAAGACACGTGTCGACTGGAGGCTCTACCATCAACACCTGCAGGAGAGACATCCAGCACACCACCCCTTAAACACAGCGGACGACGTAGAGGCCGTTGCTACCAACATGACAAAGGCGATTCAGGAGGCCCTCAACGCTGCCTCTACGATCGTCCCGATGTCAACAAGGAAAGACGATCTGCCGCTACAGATAAGCGTGCAGATCAGGAGGAAAAGGGCGCTAAGGAGGCTCTGGGCGCGTACTCGCTGCCCGAGAATCAAGACGCTATTGAACACCTTATCGGAGGAACTGTCGGTTGCAGTCCAGGCACACAGAGGAGATGCCTGGGAGCGCCGCATATGAAAGGCGGAAGAGCATGATGCGTCGCTCTACAAACTGAACCGACAGTTAACTAAAGCCAAACCTCCCGTTTGCCCGTTGACCAACAACGCGGGCGAACGTCGTTACGATGCCAAGGGTAGAGCGGATATCCTAGTAGAGCACTTCGAGGAGCAATTTATGCCGAACCCAGCAAGTGCGGAGTTCTTGGAGCTTCATGCCCAAAAGGAGAGTCGCGTACAGGAGTTCCTGAGTGGTTCTTCTCTGGCCTGCAACCGAGGAAGGCGCCGGAGCACGACGGGATTACCAACGCTGCACTCCGACAGCTGCCCCATAGAGTCCTAGTAGAGCTTGGTCGACTCTACAATGGGATATTGCGGACATCCCACTTCCCGGAGGACTGGAAGAAAGGCAAAGTCATCGTCTTGCCGAAACCCGAGAAGGACAGGCGTAGAGCTGCCAGCTACAGGCCGATCACGCTGCTACCGCACATAGCTAAACTGCTTGAAAGACTGTTGCTAAGACGCCTCCGTCCGTGCATCCAACTTCGGGCGGAGCAGCACGGATTCAGGAGGGATCGCTCTACAGCAACACAGCTGACCAGAGTGCTGCACCTGCTTGCGGCCGAGTACAACCGTGGCCGCACTACGTTGGGCGTCTTTCTCGATATCGAGAAGGCGTTCGACAGAATGTGGCATTCTGGACTACTTTATAAACTAGAAGAACAGACCAGTGTCCCTCCTGCTATGTTGCGGCTAGTGGCGTCTTTCCTGGCAGACAGAAAGTTCTACGTCTGC